GAATAAGCTAAATGAATTCTGCATGTAGCGAGTTAATAATCTCAAGAGGGGATAACTTGTCCGAAGTCTTCACGTCCACCGCAGGAATCCCAGACCCTTTGTTAGCGTCTACATTTGTCAGTGGAGCAGACATGGCGACGTATTCGGATGTTCAACCAAATGCCACAATTACAGCCACAAATGCACCTCTCTCTCTCTCTCTCTCTCTCATTTTAACACTACTCTATTCATATGTAGTGATACCATCTACATTAGAGATGAATTTGTAATTTCCATTCCTTGGATTTGCATGTCAATCTGTCTTATTTTATAAACTATGAATTTATCAGATTACTTACAGTATTAGAATTTTATCGTGAAAACCAGTTGGCTGTGGAGTGTGTGTGTGTGTGTGTGTGTGTGTGTGGTGGGGGTGTGTGAAAAATCAGTAGACTTTCCTGTGTTTAAACTGGTTTTTTTTTTTTTTTTGCTCTTTTTACTTCCAATTTTTTAACTTTGATACTAATGAACATTCATGGAAAAGTAGTAATATGTTTTCAAAAGGCTCAGTTTACCTTTAATATGTAAATTATAATCATATAAGGAACAGAAGACCTTAATTTGTAAGCATTTGAACACCTTACAACAAAGTTCCAGTAATACTTTTTCATTAATTGCACTTAAATTTTGCTAATCCTAAAGAATTTTTCTAATTTAAAATACATTGTCATTAATTCTCCTTAAAATTGTAAAGAAACTTTTCTAACGAATTCAAATGTTCTTTTTTTGTGGGTATTTATTTGTTGCCTGTATTTATTTACTGAAAGCTAACTCTAGCATCAATACCTGTGTGAACAGTTTATCCAATAGAACAATGTTATTGATGAAATTTTCAGTATTTCATTTTGCCTATTAACAGCCCAAACCATGACATTCAGTTTTTGAGACGGTGTCACTACTTGGCACAGAAGTCTACACGAGAGCTCGTTTCATTTGCCATTTATTCCAGTAACTTGACAACAGTTATTTGCAGCTAACTCTAACAGTATCTGTACAAGTACTTTCAAGCTAAAACTGCTAAAAATTTCCAATACGCATGCAGTTCAAGATATTTACAAAGTAACGTATGTATTGTGAAACGTGTGACTCTAAGCTCTTTATAGGATGTGAATACAGGAGTCACTCTACCCTCTACGAAAACACGGCCACATCTGAGAGAGGCGATGCTGCTGGCGAGAGTCCTGTGTTCAATTGGGTTGAAACGGGTTGACTGCTTTGACTGTGCAGGAATGCTACCGTGCCATCATGGAATGGCTCGATAGCTCAATTCACACGAAACAACCCCAGAGTTTCAAGTACAAGCCCTTAGCAACCAAGAGACCCGCAGCACAAGCAGCACCGGCGGAACACACTCTTATTCTGCAGGTGGGCTCTGCTTTATGCAAAGTCAAGATTGAAAATCCAAACATACAAAACCAATAAATTAGAGGGATGACTTGTATTATAAGATGGTCTTCTGCTTTATGAAAGTATTCACAAGTTTTGTCTAAGTGGCAGCTCCCCTAATGCACTGAAAATACAATTTGATTCACAGAACTTCAGTTTACATGTGACTTTTTGCACAACCATCGTGAGAAGCAAAGTACGCCTATATACAGTACTGAATTTTCTCTCCCAGGATCTAGGTAAGTGTCTTATCACTGTACTGGAAGAGGACACTTAAGCCGAAGTGTTACCTTTTGAACCACTGAAATATGGAGCAAATACTGCCTGTAAAACAGTTTTAGGACTCAACTTTTTAACATAGATCTTTAGATAGCCCAAGTACATAGCTATCCAGAGGCCACAATGTTAGGCCCTATCCTGCAGAAGTTTGTTTTATTTTTGTGGATCTTCCCCCTTTTTAGCTGTGTAATTTTAAAGAGATGTTAATGGTGGTTACACTGTAGCTAGTCTATTTATGATGTCTCATTCTTATACTTCATTGCACAGAATCACCTTTAAAAGTGCAACGTCCTGCATTTCATTACTTTTCCCACTGTTGACCCAGGGTGATTTTCATTCAAATAAGATTCTCTTTTATTAGCTGTAAGCTCCCTGGAGGGAGGGTGTTGGAAGGGCAGAGATCCTGTCTACTCTATTTCTGTCCTCCCTCGGCACACATCATAGAGCCTAGCACCTAGGAAGCAAGCACTCAATAAATATTTATTGAATGAATGAAGGAATGAAGAAATCATTGAATTGGGAGAAACGTCTGGAAAGCTTTCTTCACTCTAGCATCCAATCCAGTATGTTTCTGGAGTATGTACAGTCAAAATGAATTTCCAGAATCTGAAAAAAATCACAGAACCTCTCTTGTTCCCTATACACTTTTTGTTTTGTTTTTGGTAGAATCCACTAAAATATGGAGCCCTTGGTGACATGGACAGATTTAGAAAAATTAAATCACCTTAGAGGTCAGAGGGCAAAGCAGAGAAAATTGAAGAGTGTTTCCTTACTCACCAACTGCTGGAGGGAACTGAAAAGGCACACAGATTGACCAAAGTCCAAAACCAAATCAAGCTGTTGGCCATGGTGTCCAGACCGAGAAATAGTACTTTTGAGTGTTTCAATACAAACTTAGCCACAGGTATATTCAGAAACAGTGAAAGCAATTCATTAAGAGCTAGAATCGAAGGAAATTACCATTTGCCATTTTGTAGGGCCAGACATATAGATCTGTTCCAGGCAGGGCCGGGGGAGATCACACTCTGTTGGCTGGAACCATTTCGCTGTGCTGATGCTCATACCCATTACAGGTTGCATAGGAAATAAAAGTGCAATAGCAAAATCCAGCTGTAGGAGACAAAAACAAAATCCTAAAATAAAATAGCACTTGAGTGGGTAAAGCAAACCAATATAGTTAGTGGGCATGCTAATAAGTTAATAAACGTAAAAGCGTTCGCGATTGTGTTAGGAAATAAAGCTTCAGAGTCTACGGCGTATGACGCCTTTAAACGAAATAGTCTGAACCGCATTCGAACAGTTCAACTTAAAACCTAATACAAATAAAGTAAAAATCCAAGGAGCATGAGAATCTGGATTTACACCAGAATTAACTAAGTGAGAGAGTTTATGAATCTGCCTTCTTCTGGGAGGCCTCTTTAGGATCATGTAACTACGTAAATATTAAGCTCTCTCTATTTAAGATCAATGAATGGGTTCTTCTATGGATAATGGAATGACTTTCCTTTCAGGCGAATGAGAGCAAACGCTGAAGTGGGGTCACTACCTCAGTAGTTCTAGCTAGATGTGTAGTTGGAACCTAAAAACTGTATTCACAGGATATGTATCCTAATTTGCCTTTATAATCACTTCCCAAAATACCTACCTCGGTATTCTGTGTTTATCATTGCATCAAATGAGAGCAGCCCCAAGAGGATTTTTGAAACTCTTACATGTATATTTGTGTGTGTGTGTGTATATATGTACGTATATATGTGTGTATATGTACATATATGTGTGTATATGTGTACGTATATGTGTGTATGTATATATGTGTGTGTGTGCGTATACGTGTGTGTATGTATATGTGTGTGTACGTATATGTGTGTGTATATGTACATATATGTGTATATAGACACACACGAATATGGATACTTCACTCAAGGAGGAGATGGTTTTTCCGGGAGCTGTCTCAAAGTTCAGTCACCAGAACATTCTCTCTCCTCTTGTATGCAATGTAAAATCTCAGTACATTAACTTTCTTGTAGATCATTTAGTGCCACCATTTTTTACTTCGATCTAATGGATTTGGGGAGGAATTATGATCTCTAATCAAAGAGTGAACATGTTAGATTGTCCCTGTTGCTATTCAAATATTTTAGGTTGTTAAAGGCATTTTTTCCCCGAATGCCTTTTACGTTTAAATATACATAATTGACTTCTATTGTTAAAAAAAAAGATATTGTGCCAGTAATCCTTAATCCAAATCATTTGGACTTAAGTAATTTCTAATTGAAAGCCTATCACATGAATTGTTTATGGTGACAGACAATATACTATTAGTCATTTTAAAGCTCTAAAAGTGAGTTATCAGGATCCACTTCAATCTCCACATGATAATAAAGGATTATTATGTGCAGTAACCTATTTATGAAAAGGAAACAGTGTGCTTCTTTCAGACGCCATCAATTGCTTTAATAAGGAATTGAAAAGCTGGGCTACTTTACATGCAGATCACCGTCCCAGTTGCATAAGGATTTACAATAGACAAAACAAAACTATTTTTTGTTGTAAAGAAGGGCTGTTTGTTTAAATCGCACAATAATGTTTGCATCTAAAAATTCTTTACAGGCGAATAAGGCTTCATAAACGTTACATAGACTTGGTTAGTTAAAATCATTCTAACGCTAAGACCAAAATGAAAGGCTTGCTGGAGCTGACTGGGAAAAATTCAATTAAACACATGCCTAAAGAAGGCAGAAGAGAAAAGATGTTTCCTTTCTTGGTTTAGGTACTTTCTAATTGATTTGAAGATGCAAATAGTACATGATCGGATAGCACCCCACTAACGCTCCCATAAATGTAAAAGGAAAACACTGCTTTCTCAGAAAATGTGAAAATTGAGGATTCGGAGCCTAATCTTTAAGCCTAAAAGAAATAGAAAGTGATGCACACATTTGTTTCTGCTGCCTTGAATTTGCAGAGAAGTTACTTGGGATGTTTGAATCTCACCTTTGAAGGGTTCCTTCAAGGTATTTAATGGCTCATACGTCTTTATTAAATGAGGTGTGTGGCGGCCTCTACTGGTGTGTGTTTATAGAAAATGTTTCAGTAGGCAGAAAAAATACTAATTTCAATTAAAAAGTTAGAAATACACACTCTGTCATTGAAATATACAAAAATATCTAATTTAATGCAGAAAAAATATATTACACGTTGTGTAATGCACTCTTAATTAGGAAAATAATCTAAAACACTGACCATGTTAGTGTAAAATGATTTACGGAAGGGCATTAATTGTTCAATTCACTCTGAGATTGGGTTAAATATATTTTATTAATGAATTACTAATCCCGACTGAGGCAGTTTCTTACCTCTAGTCCACTGTTAAATCACCTTAGTTGACTTAAATAAAATCACTTAGAACAAACCCAGAGGAAAGGAAATATTTTACAGTTAAATCTCTAAAGTCCTACAACTAGAATCATTTGATGACAGGCTGGTTTCTATAACTCAAGCAAACTGTACGTTGACTTAATAGAGCTGACATTTTGATCTATTTTACAGTGTTTTTGATTTCAAAAATACAACACATTAAAATATGTTCAATTTATCAAAGCTAAAAGCAACATTTAAGTAATGTACTTAAAGTGCAAAGGCACTTTAACACAAAGAAGTGATGCCTAGTGGCTATACTTGGTAACTGGAGACGGAAATACCATATATCATTATTTACAAAAGAATTTATAGTCTCAAAAGATCTTTGGAGATCTTCTACAAAATACACTGAATATCCATTTTTACATGAAAAGTCTGCTTACTCTTTCTTCATTCATTATAATCTCCTCTTCCCATTCCCACACTGGAAAAATAAAAGAAGAAAAAAGAAAACCATAAACAAAATATACGAAACAATGCACTGTAGAAACATTCATGTTCACTGATGATTCCTAAGGAGAGAAGGGAGGGTGAGGGGAAGAGAAGGCGGGGTGGGGGGAGCAAGAGAGAAATAATTTAAAGGAAAACTCGGAAAAGCAGTATCATTGCTTCACCCCATCCCCCAAACATTTTCAAAGTCCCCCATTGATGCTGAGAGAGGGAGGACACAAACACACACAAAAGCAAACGCAGTGTCTCCACCAGTCTGGAGCAGCATCCTTGGAAGCCGGAGGGTTGTAAATGGTTTCCCTTCACAGCTGACTGATTGCAGTTTGTTTCTCCAGAACTTCGAGGTAGTCTGGCTCTGATTGCGGCTTAGCTCGCAGTAAAGGGTGGTCGGGTTTTGACTGCCCCACAAAGCATTTCCTGGGAGTTCCGTATAAAACGGTTTTATTGATTCTGTCCTGGTTTTGGCGTCGAGATTCGTACGAAGGGGCGAACTGCCTTTTCGGTAAGGTACAAAAGTTATAGTGGACCAGTCCTGCACTGGGAAGTTCCTTGACTCGCTCAGCGATGTTCTGATACAGCAGCTCGGGCTCTCTCGGCGTGGCCTGCTTCTCGAGCAACTCAGTGGCACTTATCGTGTAAGCCAGCGGGGCCGGCTCTTCTTTCTTCTCCTCCAGGTTGCCGTAGCTGAAGTCCTGCAGGTTTCGGTAATAGGCTACTGGGTCTCCTTCCTTCTGCATGTAGATGGGGTTCTGGCACATCTGCCCCACGGGCGGGGGGATATAGTTATAGACGTGGCCGTCTGTTTTGTCCTGAGCCTCGGTATTGTAAGACCCATACTGTAGCTGGAAGGAGCTGACGTCTAGGTTGTTGGAACTCCTCGGCACACTCGGCACCCCCTTTCTGCGTTTCAGGACAAAGACGAATAAGCCAGCCCCAAAACAGACAGATAGGATAAAGACAACAAGCAATCCTAAAATCAGGACGGAAAGTGGAACTTCAGTGTGGAGCTCTGGGTAGGAACTGGGAGACACACTAAGCGACCGAGGAGTGTCTGTGTTGTGATTCATGGACAAAACGGTTCCGTCTGACAAGTTCGGGCTGTCGGGACAGATAGCTTCCCTCCCCAGAAACTTCAGGATCTCCCCCGCGTGCTTTGCGGGAGATTCGCAGGTCACCTCATTGATGATGACGGGGGAATTGGCATGTTCCGTCCAGTCCTTTAGCCCCATGATGTCACAGGTGCAGTCCCATGGGTTCTCTTGCAGATCTATCTGGACAAAGGCCGGAAGCTGATCCAGAACCCCTTTCACAGGCAGGTGAGAAAAATGGTTGTTTCTCAGATTCAGCCTGGTGAGGGCCGTTCCCCCAAATATGTTGTCGGGTAGGGAGCGCAGCAGGTTGTTATTCAGAAACAGCAGCTGGAGGTTAATCAAAGCATCAAAGGTCAGTGGCTTAATTTCCTTGATGACGTTGTACTCTAAATAGAGATACTGCAAGCTCTGCAGTCCGTCAAACATCGAAGGGTACAGCACTTCAAGGTAATTGCCATTCAGGTAAAGTCTGCGTAAACTGGTCAGGTTTGTGAAGGCACCTTCCTGAATGACGGCGATCCTGTTGTTCCCTAAATGCAACAAGTCCAAAGAACTGTATTCTAGGAGGTCGTTCTTGTAGACAGTTTGAAGATAGTTCCCTGTCAGGTAGAGCTTCTTTGGACTGGTAGGCCTGGGCTGCAGGTCGGAGATGTTCGTGAACTTCCTTTCTTGGCAATTTACGTTGAGACCGTTGTCCGAGCTCTGAGAGGTACAGACGCAGCTGCTGGGGCAGGTGAGAGGCACGGGGGACTTGGTCTGGTACACCATGATCGGTCCGAAGCTCTGCCTGTCCTTTGACACGGTGACCCGGGGAGTCGGGCGATTTCGCATTTTGGGGGGTCGGCTGGCTTTGGGAGCCCTGGTTGGGTTGAGAGCGGGATTCACGGTGGGCGACAGCCTTTGGACGTGCGTGTCGGCATGGCCGCCCCTCTGACCGGAGTCGCCGGTACTTTTTCTGGGACAGAGATCTTGCCTGGTCAGCTGGGTCACGTCTTTCCCGTGCAGCCGGAAGGGAGTCTCGCAGACTATCTCCCCGACGAACACGGTTATGGTGTCCAGCCAAGCCTTGAGAGGAAGCAAGTCACAAGTGCAGTTCCATGGGTTCTCCTCCAGCTGGATCTCCATGATCCCGCCGATGTGCTCAAGGACGCCAGCGAAGGGCATCACCTTCAGCCTGTTCCCTCTCAGGTCTAAGTGGGTCAGCAGGACGAAGCGGAACACATTGCTGGGCAGGGACAGCAGAAGGTTGTCATTCAGGATGAGCACCTTGAGCTTATTGAGTTTGCTGAAGGCCCCTGCCTCGATGGCGCTGATGTAATTGTAGTCGGCCTGGAGGTACTCGAGGTTCTCCAGGCCCAGGAAGGTGTCTTCCCTCAGCACCTCGAGCTTGTTGTTGTTGAGGTGCAGTCTCTTGAGGGTTTTCAGGCCGCTGAACGCCCCGGTTCGGATCTCCTGCAGCCCGTTGTTGCCCAGGTGGAGAGTCACGGCGTTGGAGTAATTGACGAACTCGTTAGGATACAGTCTCGTCAGGAGGTTTCCATTGAGGAAAAGCTGGTAGATTCGATACTGGGGGGGCTGGAGCAGGCTGACGGTTGTAAATCCTTTGTTTTCGCAGTTAATATTCAGGACGTTTTCCTTCTCTTCGCACAGGCAGCGGATCTTGCAAATGTCTTTGGCAGTTTTGCGGCTCTCCGTCTGTAAGATCCCGGCCACGGTTAACACACTGAGGAACCAAACGCCGCTCAGCATCTTTAGGCACCGTCGGTGTCAGTTCAGGTACCTACAGGCAAACCTTGGGGAAGGGTGCCGGAGAGAGCAGGATGCGGGGGAGAGAGAAACAAGGAAGCCCGATTAAAATGGCAAAGCAAGGGGGCGGAGTGGGAGGCAGGGAGAATGCGGGGAGTGGGCAACACGGCAGAATGAAATCACTGCGTTCGTTTCTCAAAGCGGTTTCTTCTCGCCTCGCCCTCCCCCTCCCGCCCGGCCCCCGCCAGCCCACCCACACACGCGTCCCGGAGCACACATGCTTGCACCTGATTTCCCGGCGGGGCGCAGCCAGCCGCGGAGTCATTAGTAATCGAGTTGTCCTACTAAATCCAGCCCATCACCTCCTCCCCTGGGGGATCCTGAAGAGATCTCGGGCGGCTCGCCCGTCTTAGCTCGCAGCAGAAATCGCTTTACTTTTTTTTTTTTTTTTTGAACTGCGCAAAAAGGGGGTGGGAAAATCGGGACTGGCGGTGGGGGAGGGGGAGAGGATGGAAGAGCAAAGACAGCGCGGGGTGGGGGTTACTCACACATCAGGAGAAGACGGGACCCCTCTCCTCTGCAGTCCGCCAGTAGTTTAGCATCTTCGGAAAGAGAAGAAGAGCAAGGTAAAAGAAGACGCCGCTTCCGGGGGGATGCCCTGCTTTCTGCCGGAGGATTTGATTTGGCCGGGTTGGGGGGGTGCGCAGGAATTAGAAATCCGGCAGGCCGCAGGGGAGGAGAGGAGGGCCCGAGCGGCGGGAGGCCGAGACGACGGGGACCCGGGGGTGCGATTGCGTAGGGAGGTTGGGGAGCCGGCCGGCCCAGGCGGGCGGGCGGCGGCGGCGGCGGCGGCGGCGGCGACGGCGACGGCCGAGCCTGGGCGCGCGCTTCCAATCCGGCGGCGGCGGCGGCAGTGCGCGGAGCAGTTTGAATTTGAGAGGTTTTGCAGGCTCCCCCGGACGGGGCTGGGGTGACGTCACGCGGGGAGGGGGCAGGCGGCGGATCGAGGGCGCGCGGTGGGGGAGGGAGGGGCAGATGCTTCCCTTCCCTGCGAGCGGTTTGCAAAGCTCAAATCCGGGCTGCGTCAGTTGCTCTGAACTACTCCACCTCCAACCCGGCGGGCGGCGAGCGGCTGCGAAGCTCCGGGAGAGGGATTCTCCGGGAGGGGCCCGGCGGAGGGGCTGGGACCGCGGGGACTCCTCCGGCCTCCGGTCCCTTCGACTGGTTTCTCCCACGTGCCACTCCCTCCTGGCCCTTCCGGGGGGGGGGTCTCTCCCAGTGAGAGAGGGTGTGTGTGTGAGCGTGCGTGTGTGCGTGTGTGCGTGTGAGTGTGTGTGTAGGAGATGTGCCTCTTTGCCTCAGGACAGGGGCCCGCCTGCCAGCCTCCTGGCGCTTGTGCTCCGATGCTCTTGGTGCGGAGTGGGGGTGTGCCCGCTCCGGAGTGGCTGTGTAGGAGGGCGAAGAGGGGCCTTGTGCTTTACAGACCGAGCTTTGTTTCGGGGCTGGGAGAATTACTTTCTGGGCGGTGACTGGCCAAACAGATACTTGCAAGGGATTCTGAAAGCCAGCTCAGCGGCAGAGAGAAACCACACCAAAACCATTCTCCCCGAGGCTGAGTTAGGCAGATGATGAAGTTTAAACGTGTGCTTTTTGCCTGCAGGAAGGAGAAGTGAGAAAGGCCCTGCCAGGCTGAGCCTCACTTGGCGGGGTGTGGGAGCCCAGGCGTGGGGGGCCCCCCCGGAGGGGGGCTAAGCCCCCAGGCGGCATTATTAAGTGCCAGGTGTTGGATTTTTGCCTTCATTATCTCGCGCCTCCTGAATTATCTTAAGATCCCCTGGAACCAGGTGGTTCCTGGTGTGAAGTCCATCTGCAAGACAGGAACGTCTGCTGTTCCCCGGGAGGGCCGGGGGCAGCCTCTCGCGAGGCAGGAGAAAGAGGCCATGGAGGAGAAGGGGGCGAAGGGATGCACTGAGGCTGCGCCTGTCCCGCGGAATACTTACCCTTGCTTTCCCCGCCTGTTCAGTCCCAGCCTGCTGCGGACAGGGTCGACACAGGGTCCCTTTGCTGGGCCACATTTGGAATAGACATAATCCCACCGGCAAAACGAGCCGCCTGAGAAGGGAAAGCCCCCTGCTTCTCCCGTCCTGCCTCCCCGGCAAGCTCAGGCTCTGGATCGTTCGGCCCGCATGGGCTCTTTCCTCCCGCAGAAGGGCTCTGAGAGTTTGCAGACTTAGGCACTAAGACAACCTGTGGCTCCGCCAGTCTCCTCCAGATTGTTGCTAATGGCTTTCACCTTGCCCTCTGCTTTTCCTTCGGGGAAGAGCCTTGCCCCCGACGTGGAGAGCCCTCTCCCCATCCTGTAATGCTTGCCTGGTGTTGGGCAAGATCCTTTCCTTCTGGGGCCTCAAATTTCCCTTCTCTGTGCCAAAGGGCGGCGGGGAGCCGAGCTGTCCTCCGCGGGGGAGGGGCAGCTGGGATGGCCTCCCACTCTCTATTGCAATTTCATCAGTGGGTGCGGAGGGATGCGTGCGCGATGAAGCTTCCTTTCACAGCAAAGGGGCACTTGTTCCTCCATATTTCTAAATATTACACATAGTTCCTAGAGAGATGTGGCTTATTCGTTGTCATTCATTTAACAAAACATTTACTAATTAGGTTAATATTTCATGGAAGCAGAAGCCAACATGACAGCTGGACAGGACCTTTGCAATCAGATTCATCTTATAGATGAGGACGTTCTTCCACCAGAAGTGCTGACTTGCTTAAGTTTGAGCATCTATAAAATGAGAAACCCAACCCAGGGATTCCGAGTCCTGGGCCAGGAGCTTTCCCCCAAGCTCACTACTGCTTAGTGTGAACTGGAGAAGAACGGTCTGCCTACACTTACAGAGTGGTGCTGGTGTCTTACCAAATGTGTGCTTTTTGAAAAGAATTGTATTTGAAAGTGAAATACTAAATATTAGTTTTAGTTCGCAAGTAATTTCCTGCAAGACCCTGACGACGCTGTCAGTACTCCGTGAGAACAGAGACGATTTTCTTAAAAATTTCAGAGAGAGAGAGAGGGAGAGAGAGAAAGTGGGTAGATAGATGGGGGGCAGCTCGAAATCCGTGAAAATTATTATAGAGTGAAAGCCATGCGGAGGTAAGCTGGCTGGAGCGGGGGGCGACACTGGGAACCCGGAGATGGTGTGACACATCTTCCTCCCCTGGTTAGCTTCCGACACGGGTCGGTGGACTCTCCCACTACTCCTGGGCCTCCTGCCTGCTGTCCCCGAGCCTCCACAGCCGCTTTCCGCAAACACGGTTACAGGGAACGAATCGGCCTCAGCCCGAGAGAAGCACTTTAAGGAAGTTTCGTCCCGCCCCGCGTCTCGGGAAGAACCGCCGCGGTACCCCGCTAGGGAGAGCGGGCTTGGACGGCGGCGGAAAGCTTTTGGGCGAACCGGGAGCCCAGAGGCGGACGCTCCAATAAGGCAAACGCTCCGTCTCCTCGCCGGGCCGAGGGAGGCAGACGCGGGGACTCGGTCGCCTCGAGCTCCCTCGCATCTGAGTAGAGCCCCGCGCGGGTCGCCGGGGCTTGCCAGCGCGCGGGGAGGGCCCGCGGGGTGAGAGCCAGCGCAGCCCGGCCACCCGCCAGGCCTCGAGGGGGTTAACGGGAGTGCGGCGGGCCTGCTGCGGAGGGGTGTCAGCCGCCCGGCCGCCCGTCTCCCCCCAATCCCGGCAGGTACGGTTCCGGAGGGCGCTTCCGGCGGCCAGCGGGCCGGACGATTCCCCGCTCTCCGGGCACCGGGCACCGGGCAGCAAGCACCGACCGCGAGCTCAGCCCTCCTCGCCCTCCCCCGGGGCCGCCGGACGCCTCATGCATGGCGCTGGGGCCCACAGCCGCGACGGCCACGCGCGCTGCCTTCGCCCCGGCGACCGTTCTCCTCGGGACCCGCGGTTCGCAGCCGGCGCACGGGGACGCCTGGCCGGCTGTGGCCCCGGAACCTCGCGACGCCGGGAGCCCGACCACGCCCGCGCGGGCTGTCTCGGAGCGGGCGAGCCCAGGCGGGCGGGGGCGGCCACCGAGGGGGCGGCTGCCGGCGCGCGGACCCCGGCCGATCGCGCCCAGGCTTCCCGCACCCGACCACCCACCCGCGAGGGGAGGCGGCGGGGAAAGGCAGGGGGCTGAGCGCCGCGTTCCCGAGCGCTGAGAACTTACCCGGCGAGCGCGCCACCCGCAGCTTCCCCCGGAGGCGCCCGCAGCACCGGCCAGCCGGGAGGCGCGGGAGCCGGCACAGCCTCGGACCCGCGCGCCCGGGAGCGGGGGCTCGGCGGCGAGCGCGGGCGGCGCCCCCAAGGGCAGGCAGATCCCCACTGGAGCGGCTCGCCGCCGGGCAGCGCTTCTAGCAGGAAGCAGGGAGGGAGCCGAGAGGGAGGAGGGAAGAAGCACGGGGGCGGGGGTGGGGGGGTGGGGAGGCAGGGACGGCCGCCCCTCTCCCGCACTTATCAATCACCCTGCAGATCAAATGTCCCCGCCGCGCTCCCGGGAGGGGCCTGTAGCAGCCCACAAAGGAGCCGCCGCTCCATTTCTCTGAGGAGCTCCGCGGAGCGCTGCTCACGCCTCTCGGCCCCTCTCGCCTGGAACTCTGCCCCGCCCTTGCAGCTCCTGCCGTGGGCTGCGGCTGGGACTCGGTCAAGTGAAATGAGGATGGCCCTCGGTCGGTACCAAATCCCAGGGGACACTAAGACCACTGGGCGGAAGTTGCAGACCACGAGGAGGCAGCGAGCCCCCGAGCTGGACGCCCTCCGGGACGGCTGCTCCCTTAACTAGTCGGCGCCCAGTCACTGGAGTTCGGGGGCAGATATTGAAGGACCTCCTACGAGGATGGCAAACAAGGAATTTCCATATAATACGGAGCGGAGCTAGGCTTGGGCAAACGTGTTAACAGAAGCAAGCCCTTAGCAGCGTGCCAGTCCCTGTTTTCATTTGATTCTTCCTATTCTACGCGACGTTGCCCGCATCGACTGGCACGCGCTTTGGGCCATACCCCCTTCCCCTTTCTCCTTTCTTTTCCCTCTTATTAGTAGTCCAGGTGGTTGTAATTCGACTACAGGAAGGCGCTCAGTGAAAGAGTCACTGTAGTTCAAGAGGGACGTGCGGGTTTCGCCAAGAACGTTCCGTTGCCTTCAAGACCTGCCTTCCCCAGGGTATTCGGCATGAACTTGCCCTTGTGTTCATGTCAGCAAGGAAGAGTGAGTTTATCTGAAGGGCAGAAGACATTTCCGCCTCGATCCCGGAGGAGGGGGGCCTTCACGAACGCCGTCGCTGCCTCCGGTCCTTCTTACATCCCCTCCAGAGTCTGTAAAACCCCCAGTTGTTCGAATCTGCAGTTTGATGATGGAGAAGGGGGGGGACGATGAGAGGGACCCCAAGTTAGAGCAAACATTAGCTCTCCCGCTAATGAATCTGCTTTAGGGTTTGTGTGTTTTCAAGGTTATTTCCTATACAGTGAAGCCACTTTTCACATCACTGACTCCCACCTCATTCTTATCTTTCCCCTGGGGGGGGGGTGTCTTTTGTGCTTCTTCCTTCTCTTTTCATAATGGTTTTCTAAGGAGCGGGTGCTGGGCCTTTTGAAAAGAAAATTACTGGTAATCTTATATTGTGACTATATGCAAAGTTTACTTTTGGAATAGTCCAGAGAATTATCTCGTATAATCTTAGCTCTGAGGTTTTAAGGATCATTGCTGCTCCTTTCACTTCATTCCTTTTGCGCTTTCCCTGCCATTCAGATCAACAATTTGGGAATAACACCGTTCTCACATGGGCACAGGGGCAGACTATTCAGTTAGTTACTCAGAAACATTAGCCTGTTTTATTAATGTCCTTATTCGAGCAAAATACTAACCGCGCTGTTTGCCACAGACTACAGCTGTGATCTGGGCACATCATATTATTACTTACTAGGAAAAGTTAATGCTGTTTCCTCTGTGTCTTTACCTCCTTTCTGACTGTGTCATCTTTTCTTGTAGTTATTTAACGGGTGCTATAAACAACCACAAAACACAGAGCTAAGAGGCTATTCAAAGGCAGAAATAATGAGACAGTCATGCTGGAAAAAGGAGACAGTTTACTGAGAAGGGTGGTGTGTCTCCAGCCAAAGGGAACACACACACACACAAAAGCAGTAACTTGTGTACAGATTAGATGAGGAACACAGTAGCAATGATAAAAACCGACATTTTATTTTTGATCCGGTAGAAACATGTAAAATATGGCATGCATCAATTTTAATTAGCCTTGGAAGCAAGGCTAATGTGTTTACCAGCCCTCAGAAAAGCATTCAGCAGGCCGCCTTTCCACAGGGGACCACACTGATGGTAAGATAAAAGGAGAAAGAGCCGATTTTTCTTTTCGTCAGCATACAGTTTTCCAGTAGGGGGGTAGCTGTTTTGAAGGGTGTCGTGAACACACACACACAAACAGGATGACGAGCAACACAAAACTTTGTGTGAGGGCTGCAGCATAGATAATTATGGTAGGAGAGAGCTCCGAGTATGTGAGTTTCAAATGTAACAATTTATTTGAAAGTTTTTTTGTACTGACTTTTCTAAAAGTTTCTGAGTTAGGGGAAAATGCCCTGCTATACTTGAATATCAAAGACATGCATAATAATGTACTTTTGTTAATGAGTAGAAGTGGCATTGTTAATTCTTTGGTGTAGTGACATTGTAAACATCTCTTTCTGTGCTCTCTTTTCTAGTGATCATTTCATCTTACCCATGGGCTTAGAGATCCTTGACTGCGATGCCAGTAGGGAAATAGAGCAAGAAAATGAAATTTTTCATTTCATTCTAAGATTCAGGGAAAACCAGACATTTCACCTAGAATTAATAAAAAAAAAACATGTGCATGCATTTCTAAGGTGCTGCAAATGTTACCCGATTACTGTGTAGTACACAGTTTGAGAATGTTATTTTTCTACCTTCTCAGCACCTATGCAGAGCTGGAAAGCTCTTAAAAAAAAAAGACAAAGTAGGAACCTCACGCAGAGCGAGTAATTCTAAGTCAGATATGAGATGTTCTCAGAGTAGACTGTCTCTTTTGGATCAGAGATTTCAAAGATTTCAGACAGAGACAAATTCCTAAATAAAGAAATGCAACACAGAGGACATGCCATTAATACCGGTATTCATAGTTTAGAGGATACTGTAGACTTTGGTTCTGCGATGCTATTGAAAGTGTGGATATTTTTAAATTCAATTCCATTATTTTGATTATTTTGGCAGGCATGTTGGCTTGATTGGAAGAGTGCTGGGCCAGGACACAAATAGTTTGTCTTTTAATCCAGCACACCTCCAAACCCTTAGAATCCTGGGTTCAAATCTCACTTCTTCCTCCTATTTGCAGGGGGACCTGAACTGGCACCTCTCTCAATTTCCCCATGTGGAAAACTGGGTGCTAGAACCTGCCATGTGCAGTTGGTAAGGACAGGATTTGTGCAAAAGCCCTGGAAAATTGCGAAGCGGTACATACATGCGAAGGGAAATCTTGACACGAGGGATTCCTAAACTCACTTCTTAAAATAACTAAATTATACAAAACCAGTGATTTTAGTGAGAAAGCAACATTTTAACTGAAATTGGATAATGAACTCATGATTAGGAAGTTATTTACGATTTTGGTTGGAGCTCTATGATGTCGAACATTCCAATGGAAACTTAAAAACATTCCATCGTTTCCCTCGATTGTTCCAGATATATATGTATATATATACGTATTTGATGTACATAGAATGTGTATGTGTGTATAAACAGCTTACACTTCTTTAACAAATACAAATAAATTAAAGGAACACGATATGCACTATGACCCAGCAAGAGAGTGAGAGGAAGACCCAGGCTCCCTGATGCCCTGCTTTGTGATCTGCTTGTGGGTTGAAGCAAGAGCTTCTGGAACCAATTCCTCTTGTCATAGCCATGTGTCCTGAAATATCCCATTGCTGTATACTTTAAAAATCACCAGCCATGGCCTACTAAATTGACTTCATGAATGACTAATAGGTTGGATCTCAGAGGTTGAAAAACACTGACATACAGAATCAGGAAGGAGAGGAAGGAAAGATGTGATGAACAGAGAAAGGAGGCAGTAAAAAAGGCGGGGGGAGAAGAGAAATAGAGGAAAAAGAAGTTACGGAAAAACTTACGGTACTCAACCAATTGTATCGAGTGTCACTTAGTGATGGCATCTGCTCCCTGAAGGTTCTAGAGCTCCGTCCTTATTGATCGAGTGGGGTGATTCATCAGTAAGAACTATATTTAAGCTCACTGGCCTTGGGAATGAATATACATGGCAAAAGCCACAGATTTTGCAGATAAGGCTTAGGACAGCATTAGCAGGTATTTCATTTATCCTGACACATTTCATCCTGTTAATCTCCCTGGAGCTGGAAGTGATATTTTGGTCTGGACTTACAACCTAATGCGTCCAGGAGGAAACCAAATTTATTGGGTTTGACATTGCACATTATTGGAACGATATAATGCAGTTGAGCCTCTGTACTAAGTTTTGTTGATTTTATTTATGTATTTATGTTTGACTAGTATAAATATATGGTAAACTATGTGCTGTGACGGAGAGTTTAGTGCTGACTCTGCTGGAACAGTCAAAAATGTCTGCTCACAAGATGCCCAGCGACTAAGGATTTGCATTAAGTATTTCTGATTTTTTAAAAAAGTTGTCATTCGTGGAGAGGACCAGGCTATTAATATTCAAAAATAGCAAGGATGGCACACTCCAGATCTAGTCTGAAGTTGTGATTTGCACAAAACGAAGCAAGGTAGAAATTGTGGGTTCAGAGGGGAGGTGAGTGAAATCTAGAAAGTAAATAAAATCATTTCCAAGTAGTAGCTGAGTGCAGCATTCAACCATCATTGCAAATCAATGAGAGGAGAATGGATTTTTTTTTTTTTTTTTTTGCCTTGAGTCTTGATGAGTTATTACTCAGATGTGGTTTCGGTTCTTTTTTTCTTCTTCTATTTTTCTTCTCCTGGGAGGTTTCCTAAATGACATGACAAGGATACCTGGCACGCACCCTTATTCACCCGATGATTGAAGGCGGGGTCACCCTGAAGTCAAATGGGATGGCCCCAGAACATAAGTCTGACTTTTTGCCTCTGTCTGCGGCCATTTTGTGCTTCCTGGGCAGATTAAAAAGAAAAAAAAACAAAGCTTCAGATTCCATGACATTAGATATCCCTGAGGCTTTCTCAGAAAAACTAGCCCAAAGTCTCTCTGGAATGGGGGAACCATATGGAGTTTCTTGTAAGCACTTTGGAGCA